AATAACTTATTTGATTTGGTCCATATTAGAACAGATTAGAGGCAGTATTAGGTTAGGATGTTAGCAACACAAGGGAACAATAAACATATCAACAAATAATGAAAAAGCATCTACAGAAACATAAAAGATTATTTATTGACAATCAAAGTGATTATCTATATCCTTAGTGTAAACAACCAGGTCACAAATATTTCTAAAAAATTAATAAAGGATTAAACTCAATCTCTAAAACCCTAAAATCTCACTTCCCATATATTAATATTTGTCCTCTTCTGGTACTAAAATAATATGTTATTAAAGATGCATATTGTATTAGCATATGGTCTCACCTTGTCTATATATATATATATATATATATAAATATATAATATAATATATAGATATATATATATATATATATATATATAATATATATATAATTATATACTATATATAATATGAGATAAGCGATCCTTCGTCAGAGCGCAGGGGATTTACTCCCTATGCACGTCTTTAAAATCACATTGATGAACGACAATTGGGATGATCCGCCTCCGCTTAAGACTTTGATCTACATAAATTCTAAAACCCCAACACACCAAGTTTGGTGAATCCGTCGTCGTTTGACTCTCCATCGAGCCATTGAAATGTTCTATCATGTTCAAAACCTTTAAATTATTACGAGGAATGAAGGGCCGTCACAACGCACGACGGGCTTCACCCCAATTGGTGCTGTTTAGAACAGCGGTTTTAAAATGCTAGATCAAGTTAACGAAACGGATCATCCACAATATCGGTCAATCATGTGATTAGAGGCCGTCATAGGAGCGAAATTCCCTCCCTATGACAAGGATACCCGATTAATCTCTCTCCTCTATATATATATATGTATATATTATATATATATAATATATATAAGTTATATGTGTGTGTGTGCTGTGTGTGTGTTGTGTGTAATTCTCTCGCGAAGAAAATCATAATTGTTTGGTTGGAAAGGTAATTTTGAGCTAATATGTGCGGGTCCAATTGACTCTTTTAAATTAAATCACTAGAACCATTAGACCAAAACTTGAAATTAAGTTGTGATAAGAGCTGAGAGTTATAATTTTACATTATAAAATGTTCTTGCAGGTTGACCGTCCTTTTCATGGAATGAAACCTAGACTCACGTACTACTATCAATTTTTAAAAAAATATTTTTTTACTTTGTGGATCGTGGGATTTGAACTGGATTGCTATGATGTCATCTTAAATGAAATCCCTCTAGTCATTACATCAAACCTATAAATCTGTCATGAGAGTTAAGGGTTATAGTTTTATATTCTAACAGAGTCAAACATTTAACCATATTTGGATCCTAAGTCCAAAATATTTAATCTTATGTCCCGCTAATTGTCTTCACGACATGAAATTATATAACATTTTTTATCATACTAAAACAAATCGGCCACTTAAATCGGATGAATGAGAGACCCTTTAGAAATCTAAATTTTTATCATATCAAGTAGAATCTAACTGGAAAGCGAAATAGACGGTTAATGAAGATACGGTCTCAACACTTTATAGATGGACATAATCATATCTGAGATAAATGTGAAAACATGGCACCCAAAGAATCCTTACTCTATGTTACCAAGTTCTACCGGTCCGTGTAACTTCACACGCACTACACCTTGAATTCTAACTCATACCATAGAATTTCGAAGCAAACATTTTACATCAATAAAAAAACTATTAAACCATAAGGTCTTATATCAATTGTTTGGGTGGAAAGACCAAGTGAGGTGGACTAGGATTTGGGCTAATTGACTCAAAGAGATCAAATCCTATTTCAACCATGAGTCATTTTTAACAATATAATCATCTAATGATGTCTCCGAAGAGACGATTTTTGAAAAGGAGCGGTTCTATGGTGCACGTTAGTGGGCGATTTCCCTCCTGCTAACTTGCACCCCCGCTGTGATTTTGATGGCGAGGAAGAAGAAGAACAATGGCAAAAGGATTCTAAGCATTGGATTAAGATCATCAAATTAAAATTCGAAGGCTTTTGATGAGCTATCTGAGTCTAGATCTGAAGATGGAGATGATGTAGATGTAAGTTCTCTCATCATGGAATCGACTGGACCAAAGGGAAAAGGTAAATTGAAATCTATGGAAGAGATTCTAAATTCCTCAAATTCTTGGATCGATGCTAGTTGTGTTCGAGCTAGATCTTCTCCGATGGCGGGATTTCAAGATCGTCAACTCTGTAAGTCTCCTTTTCCTAGTACTGAAGGTAAGAGCTCAGCTAGGGTTTCTTGGGCTGATGAATCTGATTCGATGATCTCATCCTCTGTTTCTAACCACCTGCAATCATCTTCAAGAGTCGCTGATCCAAATCCTGATAATTCAATCTTAGAAGCTGATACTGATACTGTTACATTGATTTCGAATGAAAGTAAAGTGCTTAATAGTCCAGCTGGACCTATTGACTTGGATTTTCCTCCTCTTAAAACTTCTAAGGATGTTTCAGCTCAAGAAATCAATCCAAGTAAAAGTTGGACCAGTTTATTTGCCGATAATAGGAAGCCTGGAAGTGGTATGCTTCTAGATTTTGTTCCTTCTGAGACAAATAACTCTGTTGTTTTTGATGAAGAAGAATGGAATGAGGGTGCATCAATATGGAAGTTTTCTCTAATTGGACAAGTCCTGGGCTTAAATGTTAGATTCAAGGCAATGAAAAATTATGTGCATAAAGTCTGGAATCATATTCCTGAAGTTTGCCTGCTGAAATCTGGTTTATTCTTGTTCAAATTTAAGGGGAAGGATGAAATGGATGAAATTCTAGGCAAGGGTCCATGGTTTTTTGGATCCAGGCCAATGCTCTTGAAACCTTGGTCTATAGGAGAGGATGTTCACAAATCTGATGAATCCATTTACCCATTATGGATACAATCGCCTGCATTGAGGTTAAACTTGTGGAACTCTAAATGCATCAGTAAAATAGCTAGTATTATTAGCAAACCTATTACAACTGATAAGATGACTGCAAATAAGCAAAGGCTTGCTTATGCAAGAGTTCTGGTGGAGGTTAATATGCCCTCTTCCCTTCCAGATCACATCACCATTCAAGGGCCTAATGGTAAAACTTACAATCAGATGATTACATATGAATTCAAGCCTAGATGGTGTGATCTGTGTAAATGTGTGGGTCATGACACAAATTACTGTAAAAAGCAAACCAGAGTCCAAAAGTGGGTTCCTAAGCAAAAACCTGTTTCAAATAATATTCAGGAGGCTCCAGTAACTGTTACAAATGAGGGGAGTAATCATAAGAATAATGTAGGGAGTAGAAAGGTGGATCCTATTGGGGAAAATTTTGAGCAAGTTGTGCATGCTCCACATTCTGTCTATGAGGGGTTCCAGGAAAATGATTCAGGAATAAGAATTGCTGATACTAGAAATGTTCTGGGTCAGAAGAAATCTTTACCATCTATTGAGAATAATGGACTTATTGATACTGGTTTTAAGTCTATACAAAATAATGGAAAATCTACACATATTTCAGCAAATTTCAGAATGTCTGAACCTGTACATGCTGTGCATGTTCTTAACTCAGGCATTGGATTCTCTCAAGCTGGAAGCCCCTGGGTTCAAATTCAAAGAAGGAATCTGAAACATCCTGATACTCTTGTTAATAAGTTTTCCCAGCTGGACTCCTTGATTCTTGATCCCTCTACAATTGATAGAGGGGGGCTGAATTAAAGATGAATCTATCTTTTTAGAACATTAAAGGGCTGAACAAGTTCTCTAAGCAACATCTGGTAAAACTTTTTATCGCTCAATATCATCTGTCTTTTATTGCTTTACTGGAAACAAAAATTAGTGACAGGAGAATGCCTATCATTGCCAAGAGAATAGCAAAAGACTGGAGTTGCATTTCTAATACTGGTTATGCTAGTAAAATCAGGATTATGATACTGTGGGATCCAAATGTCCTGGATATAAATTTTGAAAACTTTTCAGCTCAACAAATTACTTGCACTGTTAAATCTCTTGATGGGAGTTTTAATAGTGTTATCTCAACTATCTATGGATTCAACCATACTGAAGGGAGGAAGGATCTATGGAATGAATTAAGGATCATTCAAAACTCAATTGGGAACTCTTCTTGGCTCTTGTGTGGGGATTTCAATTCTATTATTAGCAATGATGAAAAATTAGGAGGATCTCTACTCACTGAGGCTGACTTCAAGGATTTCAATGACTTCATTCAGGACTCTATGCTAAATCACTTGAAAACCATTACTGAGGCTGACTTCAAGGATTTCAATGACTTCATTCAGGACTCTATGCTAAATCACTTGAAAACCATTGGTTGTTTCTACACATGGAATAATAAACAGGATGATATCTCCAGAATCACTTGAAAACCATTGGTTGTTTCTACACATGGAATAATAAACAGGATGATATCTCCAGAATTTGGTGTAGGCTGGACAGAGCTTTGGTTAATGATCCTTGGATTCATAATTTCAATTCTAGCCAGGTTGAATTCCTTCTTCCAAGCTTCTCAGACCATTCTCCTGCATTGGTCGATCTCCATTCTAGAAGACATAATTTAAGGTAAAAGGCCTTTTAAATTCTTCAATATGTGGGCTAAGCATGACAAATTCCTTCCTGCAGTGTCAAGTATTTGGCAATCATATATTCCAGGTTGTAAAATGTATTCAGTTCATACAAAATTAAAAAACCTAAAAGGAGTTCTTAAAGATATGAACAAGAGGCATTTCCACAACATCAGTGAACAAGTCCTGAGAGCAAATCAAAACTTGGAAGAAGCTCAATAAAATCTTCAGGCTAACCCTCTATGCCAATCTTTAATCAGTAAAGAGAGGGAATGTTTAGCTTCATATAACAAGTTGCTAGAATGTGAAATGTCCTTTCTCCAACAAAAAGCCAGAATTACATGGAGTATCAAAGGAGACAGGTGTACAAATTTTTTCCATTCCATCATCAATAACAATAGGCATCATAACAAGATGCAGGTTCTCTATAATGATATGGGTCACAGAATCACAGATGGAGATGAGATCGCTAAGGAATTTGTTTCATATTACAAGAATCTCATGGGAAAGGCAAAGGTTACTTCTAAACCTAATTTTAACATTATTCAATCAGGTCCTTGTCTGTCAAATGCTCAAGCCAGTTTGCTCTCTAACCCTGTCACCAAGGAAGAAATCAGAAAAGCTATTTTCTCCATGTATGAAAATAAATCTCCAGGTCCTGATGGGTATGGATTTTCTTTCTTCAAATCAGCTTGGTCAATTGTGGGAAATGATGTTACTCTGGCAATTGAAGAATTTTTTAAATCTGGAAAGCTTCTAGGGGTGGTTAATTCAACTTCAATCACTCTAATACCAAAGGTGAAGTGCCCTAAAACCCCTGCAAATTTTAGGCCCATCTCATGCTGTAATTGCCTATATAAATTTATATCCAAAATCTTGGCAAACAGATTAAAATCAGTATTATGCCATTTGGTAAATGAAGCTCAAAGTGCATTTATAAAGGGTAGACAAATCACAACTAACATAATGTTGGCACATGAATTAGTGAAAGGATATGGCAGGAAACACATATCACCTAGAGTCATGTTAAACATTGACATCAAAAAAGCCTTTGACACTATCAGTTGAGATTTCTTGAAAGATATGCTCAAGGGTTTGAAATTTCCAGAGTTTATGATTAACAGAATTATGGCTTGTGTTACTAGTCCAAAATACTCTATCTCTCTTCATGGATCTCTTCATGGATATTTCAAAGGAGAGAGAGGCCTTAGGCAGGGTGACCCTCTTTCCCCATATCTCTTTATTTTGGGTATGGAATATCTGTCTAGAAGCTTGAATATCCTCAAGAATGACAGCCAGTTTAGATATCATCCCAAGTGTGGAAAAATGAAGCTTACTCATCTCATTTTTGCCGATGATTTGCTGTTATTTGGGAGAGGAGATTTATATTCAATCCAGAAATTGTATCAATGTGTTAGGAAGTTTGGTGAAACTACTGGCTTGGAAGCAAATCAAGATAAATGTTCTGTTTTCTTTGGTGGAGTAAATGAAACAGTTAAAAATGATATTATTAATCTCTTGGGATTCAAAGAAGGCTCTTTTCCTATCAGATATTTGGGTGTGCCTCTCATCTGCAAAAAGCTTTCATATGTGGACTGCAATGCACTCATTAATCAAGTGTCTAACCAGTTTCAAACCTGGATAAAACATAGGAAACTTTCCTATGCAGGCAGACTGGAAGTTATCAGGAGTGTAATTCTGGGGATTCAAGTGTTCTGGACTTCTAATTATGTCTTGCCTATCAAAGTTACCAGAAAAATTGATGAAATGTGCAGAAGCTTTTTATGGGGAAATTCTAAATCACCCCTTGTTGCCTGGGAATCAGTGTGCTTGGGAAGAAAGCAGGGAGGTCTTGGGGTATTCTCAGCCACTACTTGGAACCTGGCAGCTTCATTAAAACTCTTATGGGTCATTCACATTAATAAAGAATCCCTTTGGATTAAATGGATACATGGTAACTACTTAAAACAAAGGGACATTTGGAATGTAAGTCCTAAGATTGGTGATTCCTGGATGTGGAAACAAATATTGAAGAAGAGAGATAAGGCTATGTCTATTTGTGGAGGGTGTGATAACCTGTTGGAGCTCCTGAACTCTTGCTTGAGCAATTCAAAACCTCGGTTATCTACTCTGTATCATTTCTTCTCCCCAGTTTCTCAAAGAGTGCCTTGGCATGACACTATATGGGATAAAATGAGCTATCCAAAACACACTTTCATATTCTGGCTTGCTGTGCAAAATCGACTGCTTACGCAAGATAGATTGATGAGGAGGGGAGTCATAGATACAAATGTTTGCAGATTGTGTTCAGCTGAAAGCTTAGAAAGTCGAAACCATCTTTTTTTTGAGTGTGGGTTTTCCAGTGAAGTTTGGAATTGCGTCATGAATTGGTTAAAATTCACCTGGAAATCTTGTGACTGGAGAATCCTATTGGAATGGTTTTGCACTGGACTAAGGGGTAAAGGATTCAAGCATGGTATCAAACGTATGGCTCTTGCTGCAACTATATACAGGATCTGGGTTGAAAGAAATGCTCGGATTTTCCAACAAAAGAAAAAGAGTATGGAGTGTTTGATTAAGGATATTAAGATGGATATTCTTATGTCCAATCTTAATGCACCAATATCGGATGAGAATAAGGAGTGGTTATGCTCCCTATAAAGCCTGCACACTCACAGTTTTTTCTTTTTGATTGATTTCAGGTCTTAGTCTTGGATATCTCATTGTATAGGAGATACTTTGATGTACATAAATCTCTCATATTTGGTAAATGAATAAAAATTTTCATTGACCAAAAAAAAAATCATCTAATTATCTTTTTTTTATATTGGGCAAAATCTCATTTGTTATCTTTGCTAAGCTAATTACAGTTAGAGGCTGTTTGGTTGCTCCATTTTTTATGGAAAATAGAAGAAACTAAAAAAATATGATGTCCGCATCATCTTTTCACATATAAATTTCTTTTTCTTGAAACAAAGAAAGACCAAGAAAAGAGATGATGTGGCAATCTCTCATTGGATATGTGACCCATGATTAAGCATGTTGAAAATGGCGAATAAAAATAAGACGTGTACAGGAGGAGGCTCATTGGTCAACTGATCGGGTCTGATCTGTTGACCGGTTCGACCGCAATCAAATTACAGAAGTTTCGGGATGTTCAACTGATGCATTTGATCAGTCGACCGATAAACATGTACAAGTAGGAAATTACATCGATCGGTCGACCGATGCACCCCTATCGGTCGACTGATAGCGGGTAAAACGGGTAAAACTGTTCCTAGCCTGTTTTGGATTTGATTTTGATATAAAACGAAACTCGTTTTGTTAGGGTTTAGTAGAGAGAATTTGGATTTGTTTGAGCACTTTGAGAGGGAGATTATTGTGAGGGAGTGAGAACTCTTTGGTTAGGATTATTTTGAGTATTTGTGAGAGTTGTAACCTGTTGTTTTCTCCTCCATATAGTGAAATCTCCCCATCCTCTCCCCGTGGACGTAGGTAATTTGTTGAACTACATAAATATCCGTGTTTGTGTGTGATTTTGGTTGTTCTCTTTGTGAACTGTACTCGTTGGTGTTCTCTTGTCAGTTGCTTACCGACTCATGTGATTTGTGCATGCTTACGCCGTTGCGCAACAATTGGTATCAGAGCTCTAGGTTTCAGACCTATGGTTTGGTTTGGGTGGAGGAAATTCAATGTTGGAAGCTTGGATCTTAGAGTTCTAAGATTCGGTGGAGATAACGCTGCAGAGTTGTCATTGGAGATCTCACCTTCCTCGTATGGTTGGGAGTTCGTTTGGAATCCAATCTAGGATTCAAGTCAGGTAATTTCACAAATCTATCTAGTTCGAACCTTTCCTCTATAATTTGGAGTTAGCAAGTAATGACAGGAGATAGTGGTGAAAGTAGCAAAGTTACAGCGAGTAGAGTTCAGTTTGCACTTTAGAATATGAAGATCAGTGTTGTGAAGTATGATGACAAGATCAACTTTGAGTTGCGGATGAGTGATGTGCAAGATGCATTGAATGCTCAAAATTTAGAAGAGACTATTATGACTCATGAGATGCCACCAAAGTATGATGAGGCGATATAGGATAAGATGAATCGGAATGATTGTAGGGTGATTAGATCTTGACTGGAATAAGAATTGAAGTACAATATTATCGTCGTGACGTCTGCTATTAAGATGTGGGAGATTTTTAACAACAAGTATCTTACGAAGAGTGTTGAGAATCGGTTGCACTCGCTACGAAGATTGTTCAGATTTCAGATGTCCAAGGGTACCTCACTTGCAGATCATGTGAAATGTGTGTCGGACTTGGCGAATGTGGATGAGAAGATATCAGATGAGTACAAGACGATTATTTTGTTAGGCTCTTTACCTGATGAGGAGTATGATACATTCATGTTCACTTTGTTGAACGGTAGATCTTCCATCACCTATAGTGAAGTGACTAATTTGTTAACGAATTTTAACTTGATGAGGAAGGATAAAGAGTCTTCCAAATCTAGCACTTCGATAGAGGTCTTGTCGACGAGAGGAAGGAGTCCATATCCAAGAGATGATAATTGAGGCAGGTCAAAGTCTAGAGGTCACTACTAGATTTCAAAGAACCAATGTACCTTTTGCAGAGAACAAGGACATTGGAAGAGAGATTGCCGAAGCTCAAAGAGAAGGAGAATAGCAAGAAAAAAGGGTCGAAGGCTAGCGAGGTGAATGTCGCTAAAGGTGGTGATGATTCAGATGATTCATACTTTTTTCTATTAATTACTCCAGAGGTTAATCATGCTGATGCATCAGATTAGATGCTGGATTCTAGTGCTACTTATCATGTGACTCCCCAAAAAGATTGATTTACATCTTTCGAGAAGCTCGATGGGGGTGTGGTGGTCATGGGAAACAATTAGTCCTGTGATATTTATGGGATAGATACCATCAAGATTTGGATGTGTTGGCCTTATTATTTTGATGATGTTTAACAAACAATTTACTACTAATGTTGTTTGTCTAGTGTTTGTATATTTCTATTTATTATAGACAAACAACAAGTTAGAGAATGGATGAAAATTGAGCATTCACGATCATATCAAATGGAGGTTAGCGGAATTGTGGAGTGAAGCCTATGCAATTCAAATTTAACATCCAAGTTCAAGCTTCATCCGCAAGTGTACCAAGATAGAGCTTCGTTGAAGATCACAAGCTTGGGTATTTATTTAGTTCAATGAAATAATGTTTTAGTGCATTATATGTGTATTTTGATAAAATACTATATTCATTGTTTATAGACTTCATAACAATAGTTTACATCTTTCTTTAAGTCTATAAAATTATTTTGTATTGTTTCAAAACATGGTTAAGCTAAAATGTCAAAACTCATATGTTCACATTTTCATGTTTTGGACTATTTTATAAAATGATGATATTTTTCATGTTTTATATTTTTCTGAATTTTTTTGATATTTTTAAACAAGGTTTTAAGGTCACAAAAACTGTTTTCAAAACTTGTTCAAGTTATATATCAGTTTGCGATCGACCACCACGTTCGGCCGCCCTGAGTTCAGAAACTCAGTATGGTTTTTTGTTGGCTCGCGGTCGATCGTGGCGGTCGACCGTATGTAGTCCAGAGAATTACGCAGTCGACTGCCACGGTCGACCGTCTGTTTTCCAGAGCCTTATTTTTGTCTTTTTGCTGCTCGCGGTCGACCGTCATGATCGATCACCGAATAGTCAAATCTGCTTCAACGGCTCTTTTCCTGAGCTGTTTTCTCTTGGGCTTTTTGGTCTTTTGTTTGGGGTTTTTAGCTGAGGTTTTGGAAGGCTATAAATACCCCATTGATCTCAGTTCTCATCACAACTAAGAGAATGTTTTAAAACAAGTTTAAAGAGTTTTAAACAAGGGTTTAAGTTTGGTTTAAGTTTGTTTAAGAAGCTTTTAAGCATTTGGAAGTTTGAGTTTGTAAAATCAATTTAACAAGAGCTTGAGGAGATCATCTATTGGTGTTTGGGCATCCAACTATTCTCCCTCTACCTCTTGATCTATTGAGAAGTTTTCTAAACTCTATTTCTAGCTTTACATCTATTTGTTTGATTATCATTTTATTAAAGCTAGTTTTATATTGAGTTTAGTTGATTTGATTTCACTCATTATTTACACACACCCACTTGAGCCTATTGTATTTGCATACATTATATATTTGGGTTGGTGAGAGTTGTAACAATTGAGTGTGAGCTTTCATTGTGTTCTCATCCATATTAGAGAACAATCATTTATTATAATTGTGATTATTGTGAGATTCACTTTGTAATACACTTGTACACCGAGAGAAGTGTGTGGCGAGAGTTAGGGATCATCCTAAGAGGAGTGACGTCGGTTGACGAACCTAGAGAGAGGTTGTATCCGAGCATTTAAGGGAGACATGTCTAGCCTCAACACTTGAGAGGGTGTAGAGTGGGATTGCAAGAGTGTTGATTGTAAAGTTTTCGGTTAGCTAGAAAACCGAGTATGATGTGTAAATATTATTCGGGTGAACATAGAAAACCCAGTTGTGATAGTGGATTTCTCCCTAGGAGTGGGGAGCGGAGAGGTAGGACGGAATGTCTGAACTCCGTGATCATTTGATTGTGTTTGAGTGTGCTTTGGCGTTTATTCTTATTTGTGCTCATTGCTCATATCGCCATTGTCTCATTATTTAGTTTACCCACTATCTAGTTTCAAATTGTTTACCCTTGTATTAGTTTCATATCCTTGTATATATATCTCATAGTATATCTCATTGCTAGGATATATTCCTTTGTTCAAATTGCATATTCTTGCTCATAATTAGTTGTATATCTATCTTGTAAGAATATATTTGTTAATAAGTTTTAATTTGCTCATAATTAGTTGTATATCTATCTTGTAAGAATATATTTGTTAATAAGTTTTAATTGGCATATAATCAGATTAGATTAGCATAAGACCCTAATCAGTAAGAATATATTTGTTAATAAGTTTTAATTGGCATATAATCAGATTAGATTAGCATAAGACCCTAATCACCCCTTCTAGGGTCTAACAATTAGTATCAGAGCTTGGTGCTCTTTGATTTAAGGTATAATCGCCTTGATTTAAAGATCTGAGTTATCTTTTTGTGCTAATCCAATTTTTTATTTTTATATCTTGCTTGCTTTTTATATTATGGATATGCATGGTTTAGGTTATGTCATTAATATTACTCCTAGATTAGATAATTTCCCTTATGTCCAATGGTATATTAGATTTAAACTTTTTATTCAATCTAGACACTTTGATTTATGGGAAATTATAGATGATGCTTATATTGTGCCCACTTTGAAAAAATCCAAGTGTAATAAGAATGATCATCGTATGTTTATAATAAACAATATTTTGTTAGAATATTTGCTAAATGCATTTAATTCATCTATGTCTAACAAGTTTGTTTATTTTGATAGTGCTTACACCTTATGAAAATTTATTGAAGTACATCAAGGGGACTTGGAGACGATCCAACAAGCTTTGACGGATTCGACTTCAAGTTCATATGGAGCATCATGCACACGAGCACTAGGCGATAGCCCTAGTGAGGTTTGCGAGTCAAGTTCATATGGAGCATCATGCACACGAGCACTAGGCGATAGCCCTAGTGAGGTTTGCGAGTTCGTAC